GGCAACCAAGCCTCCTGCTTGCTCCAGCTCCGTGGCTGCTGGCCGCCATCTTGGTTGGGTTAATTTGCATATAGTCGCTCTGATTGGCCAGTGGGCGTGGCTTGGGGCATAGTGGAGGTGCGGTCAATTTGCATGTTTCTCTTTTATTAGATTAGATTATTACAATTGAGTCTCACTGTAGACTTAATTGTTAGGAATAAAAATTTTGATCACTAAAAAATAACAGCTCTTTTAAGTCTTTTTTTTTCTCTTGAATTCTGAAATTTATGTAACATTTCTCTCTTGGTTCCTTTTTGTTTGGGTGTGTTTGTTCTATAGTCTCATCATTTCCCTTTGTTAAAACTTTATTTTTCATTTATTTTCTATTTGTAACGAAGCATAGAGTTTAAAGAGGCAATCCCTTCTATAAGGCTTATTATGAAAACCAGCAACCTGCCCACCTCCTCACCAGTTCCTATTCCACAGAGCAACCACTTTCAACTCTTTCACCTGCATGGGGCTGGGGTGGGCAACGGGGCTGAGTTTGTCTGGGTGAATTATTTTATGTCTCCTTTGCACTCCTGAGAAAGTCCTTCTGTTCCCTCAGATATGAAGGACAGTCTGGCCCAGCATAGATGTGTGTGTGTGTGTGTGGTATTTACCCTCAATACTTAAATTACATCCTTGAGAAGGTCTTTTTGTTCCCTCAGACACGGAGGGCAGCTTGGCCAGATACTGAATCCTCGGAGCAGGGCAATGTCCTCCTCACTACTCTACGTGCGTTTTTCATTCTGTCCTAGTGTTAGGCTGGTGGGAAGTCTGAGGCACCCTGAATTCTCTTCTTTTGTAATCATTCTTTTAAATTTTGTTTTATTGTGTCTTAGATGCATAAGAGTTTCCCTTTCTGTCTTTGAAATGTAAAACATTTCTAGGTGGTGATACAAATTTTTATAAATTTTGTTTGGAATATAGCAACCAAATTCAGTCTCCAAACCTTATCCCCAAACTTCAAAGAAATGGCAAGTGCTCTTCTACTAGTATGACAGCTTGGTTATTATTCCCAGTAAACTCCTCCCCTGTCCAAGTTAACAAGCTGGTTCCAGTGTCTTGCCTGAGATGCCTAAAACATGTAACAGACATAAAAACGGCGAGAGACGGTGAGACGGTGAGCGGGCAAACAGAAAAAGAGGAAAACGTTGGCCACCAGGACATCTACCTTGACTCGTCAGAATGATGCCTTGCCTGTTAACAGCAGTAACACGAAGGCTTGGTGTTACTGAGCACCGAGTTACTGGGAGAAGGAAGGAAACGTACCTTCAGGGGCAGCACCTCCCTGTTGATGCCATAAAATATTGCCATAGCGAGTGTCCAGGACAGCAGACCGGCCACATTCCCACAGACTTTTTTGGCACTTTCAAAAGTGTAATCATCCATATTAAAATACGGCTGCAGCAACTCCACCGTCTCTTCGTTGATGGTGTCCTTGGGGAACTGCTGCAGGCTCCACAGGAACCCCGTGGCACTCATCAGCTGCAAAACACCAGCACCGCAGGTCTGCAAGGAGATACCTGCCCGCTCCCCAGCCAGGCTGCTCCAGAGTAACAGCGGATTGGCTGCGCCATACAAACCAAGACTAGGACAGGGGCCAGCCTAAATCTGTGAACCGCAAACTGTCCTCTCATTTCTAAAGATCAAAGTTCCCCTGAAGCATCCATCTTATATAAAAACTGCTGTTTGAAATGTTCACCCTGCTATTTTGGCTTCTGTAAATGCTTGCTTGCTTAAATAATAAGGAAAATAAGACTACTCCTCCAGAGAAGAGGCCGTAAACTATGCCCCAGACAGAGTTGTCAGTGCTGGCGCCAGGCCAGGCCTTGGGATATGGTCGCATGGCCCCTTCCCAGCACGCAGGCCTTCTTTCTCAGAAGGCCCGGAAGTCTCCTTCCAAATTTGGGAGACAAAGGACTGGAAAAAGTATAAATAGAGAGAGTTTCCTCCATGTTGGGGGGCCCAGAATTTGAAAGACACATTTTTCTCTGGGCCTGCGCAGAATTTATCATTAAAATGTCACTCCCTTTCTCTAAGCATGGCTTGGTTTTTCTCCGGTCACCTGTAACACCCCCAGCTTCCTGTCCAGGGAGTGCATTTAAATGGGTTGACATCGGGACTGCCAATACTGGCCACTGGTTCCGGACAGACTGTGCAGAAAGCAAGCGTTCAGCCTAAACCTCTTTCCCTACTTACATTCTGGGAGATGCAGAGTAAGAGACACTGCTCGATAACACAGCGGTCGACTTTGACCAGCCAGCCTGTGTGGCCTGTATCGAGTGCCTGGGCTGAGGACACCCGAGCGCCGCACGGGGCCTATAAAATAGATTTCACTCACTTTCAGCGACTCTCCCCATGACGGCTTGCAGCAAGGTTTTTCTGGATCCATAGTAACAGGATCAATTTTCTTTTGAAAGAGTAACAGAACGCAGTCCATAATTCTCATAATAAGATGCGGGGGCTTTGCAAGTTTCCGGACCGTGGCAATGTCGTTTGGTTTGATAGTCTGTATTGGGGGTGAGGAATCAATATTTTTGTTGTTGTTGAGCAGTGTTCATAGTCATGTGGCAATCTAATACTTTTAAATAACAAAAGCAGAGAACTTTAAAATGCATTTTCTCCCCAAACCCTGACATTATCGCCTTAACCATTTGCATTCCAAGATTTTTTCCTAATAGTTCTTTCACTGTGATTCTAGGATTTATGTTTATTTTAGTGTTGTTTTTTTCCCTCTATTGCCCTCAACTAGTTCCTTGGAATATCACTACCATTCATTGCCCTCCAAGCAACCACCTCCCCCGCCTACAGAGACTATCTTATGTGTGGATAACAAAGAGGAGCAAGGCCGGAGTAGCAGAAGCCTCACCTCCGGCCTGCACTTTGAGGGCTGCCCTACCCATGGAAGGGGGAGGAATTCAAAGGAGACAAAGGAAGTTATTATAACACCTGCCTCCTAAAAATGTTTTTTGACAATTTCTGTATGTGATCTGGGTTTCGAATAAGTCATTACCAGACATTCAAAGCAAGAAGGACCGGGACATCCCATAAATCAAGAAAATCTCCTAAGACCCATTTGATTCAGTGATATCTCTCTCTCTCTCTCTCTCTCTCTCTCTCTCTCTCTCTCTCTCTCGTCATCATGGAATCCATAAAGGGAGTGGGGATGAAGAATGTGCCCTGGTCACTGTCACAATTTTATTAAACGATTATCGTAAATCTATTCATTCATATAACAACTACAGCCATTCTCCCACATAAAACAAACAAACACAAATAGCCCTGTCCTCATATTTTTCCAAGACAGAGAGAGAAAACACAGTTACCCTAAACTAGGATTATATGTCATAACAGAAGCTCAGGGGTGATGGGCAAATAAAGGAGAGCAGGGAGACCAACATTTTCTGGACGGGGTGAGGTCTGAGCCTGGTCTTGAAGGTTAGGTGAAGCATTCCTGGCAGAGGGAGAGACTCATTTAAACACCATGATTTTCCAAAGGCCTAGAGCTTTTTCTGTGTGTCTGGTCATGTTGTGTGGGGACAGACAACGAGAGTTCAAGGAGTAGAGAGAAGCCAGCTTAGCAGCAGCAGCAGCAGCAGCACTAATCGAGCTTTTTCTGTGTGTCTGGTCATGTTGTGTGGGGACAGACAACGAGAGTTCAAGGAGCAGAGAGAAGCCAGCTTAGCAGCAGCAGCAGCAGCACTAATATTCATCGAGTGTTTTCCACGTGCCCAGCAAACGGCACTCATGACCTTTAACGTTTACACTGACCCTCCAAGGATCAGTGAGGAATTACAATCCCCATGGAGACTCACGGAAGGTAAGTCAATTTACTTAAGAAGTGGTGGCCCCGAGAGGCAGGTGCCGGTGTGCCTGCCTCCGAAGCTGCCAGAGAGAAGCCAGCTTAGCAGCAGCAGCAGCAGCACTAATATTCATCGAGTGTTTTCCACGTGCCCAGCAAACGGCACTCATGACCTTTAACGTTTACACTGACCCTCCAAGGATCAGTGAGGAATTACAATCCCCATGGAGACTCACGGAAGGTAAGTCAATTTACTTAAGTGGTGGCCCCAGAGGCAGGTGCCGGTGTGCCTGCCTCCAAAGCTGTGCCCTCAGAGCCCTGGACGCCTGGCTGGGGACTTATCCTGAGAGCAACGGGAACCACACGGGGGTTTCAAAGGGGCTCATGACAATCTGAACAGGGTTCTAAGTGATCTGAATCCCTTGTGCATGGCTTAGGCATTAATCGCCAGTACGGTTCCCAGTTCTCATGGAAAGCCAGTTTACAGGACGCAAAGAGTAAGTTACAGGATGTAAAGACTTAAAAAAATTTAAAACTTGGAAAACTTGATCCGTGAAAAGATTTGTTTCCAGACTCAGTTTCGTGATTACAAAACTAGTTATTTCATGCCGTGGAACGCAGTGCTGCAAGGACTTGTGTTGGGGGGACAGCAACGTGCTACTCACATTCAGGGCTGCTTCCGCCTCCTCCAGGGCAGGCTTAGCGGCCTCGAGTTTGCTCTCAGCTTTTACTTTTTCACTGTCAATTTCATCCACAATTTTTTGGGCTTTGTCTTTCACCTCCTGCACCTCGTTTTTCACCTTGGCTGAAGCCTGAGCACTTACTGTGACTTCTGCTAAAACCTGTTAAATTGAGGAAACACACGAGAACAAACAGAAACCTCAGAGCAGCATTTACAGATTTGAGTACTGAGAGAATATTCATTCACTAAAATGTAAAACATGAATAAGAGCAAGTTTATTCCCCATCTAAGATATATATGCTTATTTTAGTCCTCACCTAAAGCCCATCTAAGATATATATGCTTATTTTAGTCCTCACCCAAAGATGCTTTTATTGGTTTTTAGAGAAAGAGGAAGGGAGAGAGAAAGATTGATGTGAGAGAGAAATATGGATCCATTGTCTTTCTTATGCACTCCGACCAGGGATCGAACCCACAACCTAGGTATGTGCCCTGACTGGGAATTAAACCTGCAACCCGTTTGGTGCATGGAACAACACTCCAACCAACTGAGCCACTGGGTCAGGGCTGAGTCATCTATATTTTGAGGTGTATTAAAGTACACCTTAAGCAGTCCTTGCAGTCTGTTATTTCCTAAGCTTTCTTCAGGCTTAGAATATATAAATAAACTAGAGGCCCCGTGCACAGATTTGTGCAGGGGGGTGGGAGGGAAGGGGTCCCTCAGCCTGGCCTGCGGGGATCGGGCCTAAACCGGCAGTCAGACATCCCCGAGGGTTGTAGCAGTGAGTGAAGTGGCAGGAAGCCAGGGAGGAGCCCGAACCAGGCTGGGCACCGCCTGGCTCTGTGCTCGGTGCTCTCGCCACGCTCTCGCTGCTCCTTAGCACTGCTGCAGAGGTGGGAGAGGCTCCTGCCACCACTGCTGTGCTCACCAGCTGTGAGCCCAGCTTCTAGCTGAGTGGCGTTCCCACTGTGGGAGTACACTGACCACCAGGGGGCAGCTCCTGCATTGAGCATCTGTCCTCTGGTGGTCAGTGCATGTCATAGCGAACGGTTGTGGTTGTTCAGGTTGTTCCAGTCGTTCTATCATAACAGTCGTTTAGGCTTATATACATATAGATAGATAGATAGATAGATAGATAGATAGATAGATAGATAGATATTTAACCTTTCAGGAAAATGGTATTTCTACTGTATGTAATTTCTAAAAATTAAAACAATATAAGTAAGTGTAATGGAGTAAGATCAGAAACCATATTAAGCTTCATGTAAATAACAATAAAAATAGCTCATATTTTGCTAAGTGCCTACCATATGCCAGAACTTTGCTAAGTGCCTCTCTTGACGCTCTCCTTTCAGCAACTGGATAAAGGTCAAGATTTAAGTAGCAATTCCTACCTGGCCCTCAGGGAGTGGAAGTGGACACAGCCTGAGGGGTGGGGGGCGGTAGATAAAGGAGCAGCACCATGTCCCTACCCCCTGGGAGGAGTATCCTTTTTTTTAACTTCACCAACTCCTCCTCTTATTTTTCCCCTGCCTGATACGAGCTTCAGATGAGACTTGGGGCATCCTAGAAACCTAGAGCATGTAGGGACCTTACCAAATATAACTATAGTCAAGCAGAAATGTCATAAACAGATGAGGGAGGACAAGAGAGACAGAGCCAGAGAAGAAAGAACAGCCTTAGACCTGGTGGGCTAGACTAGCTTAGGTATGCCTTGGTATGAGTTAAACAAAATATGTAATGGTCGTTGGGAACATTATCTTACCAGAAATAGTCTAAGTCTATACCCTGTAAGCTTCTAAATGCTTTTTCTCTAGTTTGGAAAAATGTTCCTCACTGCTCGGGATAAAACAAATGCAAACTCACTTCATCTGCTTTCACAGACGCCACTTCCAATTCCTTCTCCTTCACTGCGAGGTCCTGCGAGAGCTTCGCAACCGATTCGCTTGCCTCCATGAGCTTGTCAAGACCTTTACAAACACACATATGTACATGCTTGCTGAGTCTATGAATCCCCCTCCATCAAATATTTATTCAACATTTACTACTTATAAGGCACCATATAAGTACTATAACAAACACAAGGTAATTAATTATGGACAAATGCTTTAAAAATGCACCTATCTTAGGAGCAACAATCCTGACCATATTTCTGAGAGCTTCAGCAGGGGGTGAAGAAAATCGCTCTGGTGGGAGAATATCATCTGGCCACACTGAAGGGAAGTCACAGGGCTGCACCGAGAACGTCGGTTATTGGACTTGCTTGAGAAACGTGCTTGACAAACCTATGCTCCCCTGGGCTTTGCAAGCAATTTGTGGCTGTCATTTGTTGCCTTTGAATCCTATTGCCTCTGAGATGGCAAATGAGACGCATAATCTAGTAACATTTTTGTTGTCCTCTTCACTATAAAAACAAAAATAACCGCTAAAACCCGTGCACCTGGCTCTGTGGCTTTCAACACACTGGAGAGGACAGCAACCAACCAGCTTTCTCACATCCCAACTGGGTTCTAGGCAGAGGTGTTTAGTGAATGTTTAGCATCTGGTCTCTTGACGGGGGAGGGGAAGAACTCATTTGTATGTTCCCGGTGTCCATGGTGTAAATACTCCCACGTGGCTGATTTCAAGCTACGGAGAGATTCTCAGAGGCACATTGAGATATTTCTACCAGGCAGGGAGAATGGACATAACCTCAAGAACAATAATAATAGCAAAACAGAGTAAAAACAACTCAGAAGTGATATGTTTTGAGTAGTTTTTGCCTTCACTTTTAATATACTTTATTTAATTGTAAGTTTATGTAATTTAATTTTAATAAAGGCTGAGTTTAACAACCAGATCAGACAATTCCTAACTAACCCCGGCTCCAGTGAGCCAGCGCATGGGGGTCAGCAAAGAGCTGGTTCTGAGCATCACCCAGAGCCGCTGCGGGAAGGTGAGCGAGAGGACAGCGAGGAGCTTTCTCCCGCTGCTCCCAGCATCCCTTTACTTCCCGCTCTTGAGCTCAGTTAGGCTCCGTGACCCGGTTTCGTGTAGGAGAAATAAAAGGACAGCACTAACGTATTTTGGAGTGTGTGGGTCAGATGCTTTCTGGACCTATAATTGATTCTGATTTCTATTTTTTCTACTTATATATACTGAACACTCAGAAAACCATCACTCAAGTAAACTCTCTCTTTTTGTTTTTGTTTGTTTGTGTTTTGCCTTTTCCTTTGTTAGAAATTTGAGAAGCATTAACTTCACAAAGTTTATACAAATTGAGGGAAATTGCAATGAAACCAGAAATTGACATTGTGGTCAGTTCCCAAGAGCTGGCTATTCCCCAAATGACCGTTGGTCACTCGCTGCCCAACCAGTGGTCCCAGAGTTGAAGGAGGTTGGAGAAATGGTCTAGAGAAAAACAGGCCACCTGCTTGGATTTTCTTCCACCCAGAGTTTCTGGACAGGTCAAAGCAGCCTGAAGCGCCTTTCCTCAAATACTCCGTTACTAACAATACAGTCCGTCTTTCATTTTCAATCACAACAGCAGCCACCAAACACGATATTGGGGTCCCTATCAAACAAGCCCGTACAAATCCCATGCTGCTTACCAATATTCATCCGTTCAGCCTGCTCATTGATAAATTTCACCTTTTCCGTGTAAATGTTTTTATAACCGTTTATAAATGAGAGGTAAGATTTGGGAGTCACGTGCGCTCTCCGGCGGTACCTGAAAGGGAAACAGAGTGAGCTTCGTCTCTGCGTCCCGTGGCCTGCCACACGGGTCGGAGCCCCTGCTCTTCCCACGAGAGCGAGTCACTGGGAGGGAGGCAGGGATTGTGAGTGGTTTCCCTGGAGATGAGATGGTGAGATCATTAAATATCTATCTTGACTTTTTGGGGGTCTTTGACTCCACTCTAACTCCACTCTGGGCTTGTTTCCTCGTCTGGGGAACTGATGGGGGGGGAAAAAATCACTGCTCTACACCTGCCAGAATTTTGTGAAGATAAAAAATATATATAAATAGCAAATGCGCTTTGCAGACTTTAAGACTCTGTGCAGATATCAGGGATAAGTGAGGTGGTTGAAGTGTCTTCTTCTCGACTGATATTGGCTACACACCTCTTCACAGCCGGGCAGCAGCTGGTGGTCGCCTCCGGGGGCCCACCAGCTGCTCCCTGCACTCCTTGGGCTGCCCTTAAAATCAAAGCAGCCACGCTTGATTCAACACTCACCTCCTTATGGGCTTAGCATAGCGATTATATTTAACAACAGAAATAAATAAAAATAATAATTTTATACGGCAGAAACTCAAGTCAGAGAACTCCACACATACATAAAATCATTTTACCTTTTAGATTAATTTTGTACTTTTGGCTTTCAGAAGATTTTTAACATTAAAAATATTTCAAGAACTTGGCATAGAGATGACTATCATTAAAGTGTTATGAAAATATTACATTCAGAATAAACTTCTACCGCCGGAGAGGATATGAAAAATACACCAAGTTTTTCAAAAACAGACATGGGTTTCTGTAGCTCTATGAAGGTGAGGATGTCTCTACAGGTAACAGTAGCAGGAGGAGTTCAAATGAGGTAGAAAGAAAATCGTCCTCACAGTAAAAATGAGTGCGCATGAACTCACCAGAAGATCATCTACAACTAACAGTTCAGGAGGGGTGGTCTAGGTAGGGTTTCTCATACCCTTTGCGAGATAGGGACCCCCTGGAAAAATCAATGAGATGGAACCCAGAGGGTCCCTCTGCAGAAGAACAGACATGATCTTTCTGGCGGGTCCAGCACCCCTGTGGCCCCCCCGCTAACCCCGAGGGAGAAGCCCACTGCTCCAGAAATGCAGGCCGGCCCAGCGACATTCACATCTGTCAGTCGAACGCAGAGATGATCATGCTGGGGGGAGGGGAGGTGTACTTCTAAACTGTTGACACCAGCTTTCACATATGAGTCGCTTCTCCTACAGTCAATTACAATTTTGTTTCACAATTATTTGGCCTAAAAACATGATGAAACAGGCATCACTTGATCAGACTAAGTGATGCAGATACAAAACCTAAGTGTTCTTGTAACAGAAGGCAGCGATGAAGCTTTAAAACAGCGCACTTCTTTAATCACAATAAATAATGCACTTGAACAAGAAACTAATTTTAAATGGTTTGTGATGAATAGTTAAGTCATTTTGGGGGGAAAAAAATTAAGTACACAAAATAAAGTGATTTATTAAGCATGTGTTACTTTGAGGCCTAGAAGGAAGGAGGTACTTAAATATGGACACTAGTTAATTTTTAAATCTCGTTTTTTACTACCCTTTCAATCCATAACCACTGGAAAATCAAAGCAAGAAAAAATGTAAGTGCTGCTGGGACCCTGAGCTCAGCACGAGCCCTTTCCTGGATGTTCCAGGCGATTCCTCCTAGGAGTGAACTTAGTGGTCCTGCAGCTCTCGTGCGTATACAACGTCACCTACCTTTGGAAATAACTTTCACAGTTCTCTGAAACCATGTCATGGAAGAGGCCCATCGTTTCCACAACTTGTCTTTTGATGTCAGCAGAGCAGACGATATTATAGCCTGAAAGGAAGTAGGAGGCCACGGCGACCAGCGCCTCCCTGGGCCAGCGACTGAACCAGTCCATAGTGCAACCTGATATCAAGCCAGGAAATTTCAAAGACCGGGCGCGGAACTTCTCGCCAACCTATCACAGCAAAGTCAGGAAGCATTAGAGAAACAAGCGGATTATAACTTGGCTAGAGAGAGTTGTGTGTGCATGCTGAGTCAACGGTGTGACATCACAATTTTTTAAAACTCTTGGGCTGCATTAATAGATAAAGTGTCCAACCAGGGGGGTGAGGGCATGAACGGGAGTGGGGTGGGGGTGGGGGCAAAGGGGGGACAAGGACACATATGTAATACCTTAATTCAGAGGTTCTCAACCTGTGGGTCGCGACCCCTTTGGGGGTCGAACGACCCTTTCACAGGGGTCGCCTAAGACCATCGGAAAACACATATATAATTACATATTGTTTTTGTGATTACTCACTATGCTTTAATTATGTTCAATTTGTAACAATGAAAATACATCCTGCATATCAGATATTTACATTATGATTCATAACAGTAGCAAAATTACAGTTATGAAGTAGCAACGAAAATAATTTTATGGTTGGGGGTCACCACAACATGAGGAACTGTATTAAAGGGTCACGGCATTAGGAAGGTTGAGAACCACTGCCTTAATCAATAAAAAAAAACTTAAAAAAAAATAAAGTGTCCAGATGCAGGGAGGTTATATTTCCACACCCTTCCCGTTTCTAAAACTACATCTGCATTCTTGGATTCCATTCTAGGAGCTACCTCGTAAGAGCAAGAGGAAACTGACAGAGAGACAAGCAGGACATGAACCGCCTGGACCTTAGAGCAAGTGGGAATAGCAGAAGGAACAGGAGGTGTTTGATCTAAAAAGGAAATAATTTAGGGAGTCTGCAAAAACTTTCTACGAATATGAGGAGCTGTGTGTGGGAGACGGTTGGGCTCATTTTACAGGACAGAAACAGAATCACGGGGGAGTAGACAGACCAAATTCAGTTGATTGTAAAGAAGACCTTCATGGCTATTACATTATCTAGAAATGAAGCAGCTGCCTTATAAATTAGTGAGCCTCCCAGCCCCCCCCACCCCCGCCAGCAGAGCTGACCAACAGAACTTTCTGGGGAGATGGACATTTTCAGTAAGTGCTGTCCAGCATGGTAGCCACCAGCCACGTGCAGCTATTGAGCATTTGAAATGGGGCAAGTAGGATAAAAATTGGATTTTTATTTTCAATTAATCTTAATTAATCAACATGTAAATAGCCATATGTGTCTACTGGCTACTACGTGGACAGTGCAGTGAGCTACAGATGTCCAAACGTACATCAGGGACATTCTAGTTGGCCTGTCTGCACTGGAGGTAGAGCTGGACAAGATTACACCACCAACTCCCTTCCAATTCAAATCATCTATGTCTTTAGGTGATGAAAGTTGCAGCCTACGCAATCATTTCTCATGAGATGAAATCTTAAATTATTACACTCTGATATGAGATTTTGGGCCATGGAGACTGGTGGTAGTAAAGTGTTAATTTTATTTCAATGTAAATTAAATTACATTGTGTCCAGCCAGGGGGGTGAGGGCATGAACGGGAGTCGGGTGGGGTGGGGGGCAAAGGGGGGATAAGGACACATATGTAATACCTTAATTCAGTGGTTCTCAACCTGTGGGATGTCAGTAGTGGTAACTCTGACATCTACTTACAGCTCACGGAATCCTCCCAACCCTTCTCTAGTCCTATGTTAGATTCTGAGCCAATCATCTCATCAGAGAAGGTAGACAAACTACCTGACTACATTTAGATCAGTAGCTCCTCCCACATGGACATGACAGAATAAGCACTCACTGGAGAGAAGCAGAGCACCACATGCAAGTTCCTCCTGGACCTCGAGATGAAGTACTCGTACAGGTTGTCGAAGGTGGGAGGGTGGCGGGGCAGCTCCCTTTTCATCACCGCGATCAGACCCTGGGTGATCTCGTCTATCTCATCCCGCGCAAACAAGTTGGAGATCTTCGAGGAATGGACAGACAGTGTTCTGTGCTTTCAGAGTTCCCACAGCCAGTTCACTGCCAGAGTCTGGTCCTCTTCCCCTCCCCTCTCCCCCTTCATGTCGTCTTTTTTTCCTATTTTCTTTCTGTATCTCCACAGTTAAACTGCTGGTTTGCCAGAGATTATCAAGATTGCAACCATTTATTGAGCAGACTGGGCTGTTTAACCAGGAGCAAATTATGTTTCTTTCCCTTTGTCGAAATAGCTATCACTAAAACGCGGTCTCTCCGCCATGGTGATCATTCCTTTAACACGTCCAGTGCTGCCCTCTGTCCTCTGGGTCACTGTCAGGCTCAGTTCTGGCCCCACGCTGGTTAGCCAGCTCATGGCCAACAAGCATCCACAGACACCAGAGGGCTGGGAAGCGTGAATACCGCGGCCTGACGTTAGGAAGGGTGTGCGCGCAGGGCTGGCATCTGGGACCCTGGCTGTGGAATGTCTCCCCCACTAACTGATGGGTTGTTCCACTGCGCCCAGACTGTTTATGCAAACACTGGGATAGATGGTGAACATCTGCGTTCCTCCTGGGAGTCTGCGATTTGGGCAGCCGTGGCTGGGCAGGGAGTGACCATATGGCCAGTGCCAGTGACAGCATTGGCCTCTGAGCCCCAGACAGGCTCCCTGAAGGGCAGTGCATGTGGGTGGCTCTTCGCTGCTGCGGGAGAAGCACTCTGCAATGGCCCTCTGGCGGGAACAGAGGCAGCCTGCACGTGGATTTCTCCAGATCCACCCAATGTGTCTTTGTCTTTGCTGGTCTGGCCGTGACTCCCTACTGTGTTGCTTTCATAAATGTTACGCCTAAGTCCTTCTAATGAAGTACCACGCGTGGGAGGGGTCGTGAGGGCGCTGATACAGTGGGGTCAGAAGTGGTAACTCTGACATCTACTTACAGCTCACGGACCCCTCCCAACCCTTCTCTAGTCCCATTAGGGAGGGGGGTGGGGTGGGTGGGTGGATAGTTAGGTACTTTGCTACTCCTGAAATAAATCATAGGATCAAACTGGAGACTAAAGAGACAAATAAGCAATCGTATTTAAAATGGAACAAAGCATACAAAACAAGCTGGAGACAGGCAGCATTAATTTCACAGGAACTTCAAAAAACTGGCCAAATCTCATGTGTTAATCACTTCTGAAGTGAAACGTGTGTAACCATTGGCCTCACTTGCTAAAGGTTGCTGAAGGGTCACTGCTTTTTCTATTCAAATAGAATGTACATTAAAAAAAACATGAGGTTTTTTTTCTCCACTTTTGAGACCTACCTCCCCTGAAGATAGCAGGTTGTTAAGATATTCTAGAAATGCCTCATCTTTTATTTCATTGTCAGTAAAGATGAAGGTGATGCCTTTTCCTTCAGCCCCCGCAACTTTGTACAAAACTTTTAAGTCTTCTGTTAGGTTAGTCACATTATAAGACCTAAAAATAGAAGTGGTAAAAAAAAAATTTTTAAATTACAACATATATATAGTCTTAATTTATCTCAAAATTCAATAAAGCCCATGATGATTAGAGCATAAATCTGCACCTGCTGCAAGAGATATTAAGTAACAATGTCTGCTAAAAACACCAAGATTAGCATGGCCGCCATGGCTCAGCTGTTGAGGGTCAACCTATGAACCAGGAGGTCACAGTTAAATTCCCGGTCAGGGCACATGCCTGGTTGCGGGCTGGATCCCAGTAGGGGGCGTACAGGAGGCAGCTGATCGATGATTCTCTTTCATTGAAGTTTCTATTTCCCTCTTCCTTCCTCTCTCTCTAAAAATAAATAAAAATATATATTCTTAAAACCACAGATTAGCATAAAATAGCTGTATGTTACGGTTCCAAACACATGTTCTATTTAACCTGAGAAGTGAGGACTGGGAAACTGACCATCAGTGACTCACGAAGAATAACTGGGACAGGGAAATGAACTTTCATTCCCTGCAATCGGACAGTCCTCAGCAACAGATTTTGCCCGAAGGGAGAATATGTATAGCAGCTAAAACAAATTTGAAACTTGGATGAGTTTGGACTGATAAAAAAGTAAACACAAATTATAAATAAAATCAGTGATTAGTGATATATAGTGGTAATTTGTGCATCTCTCTGAGTGGCTAGATGCAGAGAAAGCCTACAGAAAAGATGCACTGTGCAGTGTGGTATAAATAACAGAAATGCCATCGTTGTGTGCTTACGGATTACGAAAAGAAGACCTTGGTCTCTGTTTTCCTGTTTCCTACTGAATGTGTGTGCTGCCGAGCTGGTGTGAGTGTAAAAATGAAGCAGACACTTTCTCGAGGGTGCGTGTGAATCTTCATGAGTAAGCTGAGGACAAAGACCATGAAGAAACCCCACTTGTAGGAGGTTTTACAGTGCAAGGAACAGGGAGTTTCATGGAAGCCACGGGGTGTACTGGGAAGACTATGGACCTCGGAACCAGAAGGGCCTGGGTTCAAATCCCCTTTCTGCAGCTTTAGGAACGTTCCTTCACATTCCTCAGACCCGTTTCCTCATCTGAAAAACGAAGGGAACACCTATTTGTAAAGGTTGCTGTGGGCATTAGAGATGATGTAGCTTGAGTGAACCTATCCGTGGTCGGCAAACCGTGGCTCGCGAGCCACATGCGGCTCTTTGGCCCCTTGAGTGTGGCTCTTCCACAAAATACCACGTGCGGGCACGCACGTACAGTGCGATTGAAACTTCGTGGCCCATGCGCAGAAGTCGGTATTTTGTGGAAGAGCCAGTATTTTGTGGAAGAGCCACACTCAAAGGGTCAAAGAGCCGCGTGTGGCTCCCGAGCCGCAGTTTGCCGAGCCGCAGTTTGCCGACCACTGAATGAACGAGGAGCTGGTTTTTACGCTGGGAGTATCAGCTAGCTACCCTCCCCTGAGGATAAAAAGGCTTTGCGACCCGGCTATGCAAGAGGCCAATCTCAACAGGCTTTGTTTTCCTGACCCACCAACACCCACCAGCAGTGCATTGCCACAGGAAGTTTGAACTATCCGTGACGTCTGTTTTGAAACGAAATAGAAGGTGTTTGAAAATAGAATTCAACTGTTTTCATTAGCAAAAGGAACTCCATCAAACAGCACATACATTCCTTTAAAATAAATCCCAAGACGGAAATTCATTAAAGAGACGCTTTGCTGAGACGCCACTGCACCTGTGGGCAGAGCCCAGCCACACCTTCCTGCAGGGGCCCTGCAGGTGCTGCTCTCAGACACTCTCTGACAGGCCAGTCTCTGAAGGGCCCAGGCATTGAGGTCTCAGAGCCACTTTGGCTGTTTTTGTTTGTGTGCGTCTGTGTGTGTGTGTGTGTGTGTGTTAATGGTTTTTTTTATTGATCTTTTAGAGAGAGAGGGAGGGAGAAGGAGAGAGGGTTTTTTAATTAAATGGACTGTTATGTACTGTTTTTGTGATATAAGGACACATTCACAACACACCCCTCTCTAGGTCCTGACCCCTCTCCTCTCGTTTCTTTCATAGCTAAGCTTCTCGAGGAGTTTCTAAACTTGTCTCTGCTTCTTCACTTCTTCAAAGCGACGTGGCTTCTGCACCATCCACTCCACTGAGAGGTTTGTTTTTTAAAAAATATTTTTATTGATTTCAGAGGGAAGGGAGAGGGAGAGAGATAGAAACATCAATGATGAGAAAGAATCATTAATTGGCTAACTCCTGCACGCCAAACACTGGGGATCAAGCCCGCAACCCAGGATGTGCCCTGACTGGGAATCGAACCCTGACCTCCTGGTTCATAGGTGGACACTCAACACTGGGCCACACCAGCTGAGCTCCACTGAGAGTTTTGACACGGTGACTGTTAGATACCACTTTTCATACCCCAGAGAAATTAACTATAGAAAAACATGTTGTCTGTTTTACGTTATCTTACCTGGTTAATGTTATCTGGAATATCTGATACCCGGCTATGAAAGAGGCCAATCTCGACAGGCTTTGTTTTCCTGACCCACCAACACCCACCAGCAGTGCATTTCCACACGATGTTCGAATTATTCGTGAAATCTGTTTTGAAATAAAATAGAATTTATTTGAAAATAGAATTCAACCATTTTCCTATCCTTGCACTAAATGGGCCCAAGATTTGACCATATACTTCCAGATTATATTAAACCTTTTCTGTTTATGATCTATCTCAGAATGTCAAAAATTAAAGTTCATGTTGATTTATTTGATTCAAATTATTTCCCTGCCCATCTATATTTTCCTCATGAGAAACAGACCCAACGATCTTTCCTGTCCTATTTCAAAACTATTCTGTGTTTGTGTGAATTTCTTTTTCTTTTTACTTTTCAAATGAATGAATGGTGGAGCTGCACTTGCCAATATGCACGAAGTGTAGATTCACTGGCTTATTACTCACCAGTCTAACACCTGACTTACTAGACAGCTAGCTCTCCCACAAATACTACCTCTATCATATCTCTCCCAAAGAAAATTCTTCAAAAGTATCAGAATTCTACTTGCAATGGGGGCAGAAAAGCATTTGTAGAAGCAGAATGAGAGAAACAGCCTTTCTAGTCTTGTGTTGCTTTTCTTGTGGTTGATTTCTTCAGTGAGAACAAGTGGTTGAAAAGCTGCCTTTTACCTTAATGTCAGCACGAGGAAGAAAGTCTAGATGGATCACTAAATTCATTATCACCACTAAAAATAATTTTTAAGTGCAAGTCTATAGATGTCAGATCAGTAATGACACCTTGATATGTATTAATTCTATCATTATATTTTAAAATATGTTAATCCCTTATAGGCTTTGCCCCTAGAACACAGTCCCAGGCCCCCATGAACTAGCCACAAGGGTATTTGAGAATTACTTGTCGAATGAGAAACAGCCCTAGGACTTCTAGAAATTCACCAACTTTGCAGACAACAACTGTACAGTTGTTCGAATGGAAAATAATGCCCAAATGAATAAACAATAACACAAGAATAAACTCTCACATACTCACAACTGTAACCTACTTTTGCCCCACCCTGTATGATAAACAGAGTTACATGCTTCCTCTTTATCGCCTTTCTACTCTGTGTTCTGACTCCTGGAGAAACTCCCTTTTGATCTACAAATTATACAAATAAGCAACTCTTCTCTGTAGCCTCCCAGACTTGGCCCAAACCACCCTTCTCCTCGATGCTGCCTCTAGTTGGATTCTGCTTTTCCATCAGCCCTATTTCCCTCCTTCTCCCTTTCCCCATCTGTCGGCCCCTCATCTGTAAGCCTGTCATGAGATGGACATTTTAAAAGCATCAACTTTTCCTCTACGAGGAACAGAATTCCCATTATCTCAAAATATGATTTAAGGAGGGAATATTTCTTCACAGGGTTCTCCAGCACACTTTCTAGGAAGGTAAAACTGACTCAGTGCGTCAAAAGCTCTGAACACAAAACCCATCAATTTGCCCTGGAGAAACATCTGCTGTCATACGGGTGGATTCAAATAAGGGGTTTCTAATTAAGCCTTTGTTTTCGGAGACAGTGAATGAGTCCACTCTTCTATATGCTACCTGATACTATATATTTATTCTCTCAAGAGGTTTATCTGTGCAGTTTACTAAGCTTTCACATGCTCTGTTTATGTCAGTAACTAGTCCACAGTTAGAACCTTAATAAGATGAGTCATTGCATCTTTAAAAAAGACCAGATCAAGAGATGTTCCTCTAATGATTTCATTGAACTGTCTCTGGTAAAACTGGAGCTTTTCAGACAGAAATTCAAAGGATGGCACCTATGGGTGGGAGGAGAGGAAAATATAGGTAAGGTCCAAAATTTATAAAAGTATCAACTGTAAAGACACTCCAAAGTAATTCCACATTTTTAAAAACCTATTGCATTTCTAAAAATTTGTCATGCGTTAGTTGACTTTTAATTATTTCCATTTTCAGGGGCCTGAAACCCAACTTTCCAATATGAAATTATTCCTGACTTTTGCCTTCAAAAACCCCAGCATCCACTCCTACCCACGAAAATGAAGGTTGGAATGTAACAAATATATTTTTTCAGTTTTTATTTGCTTTTTAATACTGTTTATGCGTTTTTTTAAAAAATATACAGAGGCTTCACATTCTTTATGTAGTCAAATTGTTCTGAAATAAATATTCACGTATTTGCTTTGCAAATTGTTCCTCCCCATTTATTTCTTGATCCACATGCACTCCAGAATTGCTTCGCATCCCTTTGGAGTCTTATTTCAAACTTCATTAAACCTATGCATTAATTTAGGAAGCCTGATGGGTCATTCAACCAAGTAGGGTTTTATCATGTTTATTCCTAGGTATTTTACATATTTTTGCTGTTGAATAAAATACTTTTAGGCTACATTTTCTATCTTGTGATTTTTAGCAAGAGTTGGCAAACTTTTTCTGTAAAGGGAAAGATAGTGACTATTGTAGGCTTTGGGGCCCGTGTGGTCTCTGGAGGCTACTCAGAGCTCCGCTCCTGTCCTGTGAAAGCTCTCAGACATTTATAAACAAGTGGGCGTGGCTGTGTCCCAAAAACCGCTGTATTATGAACCCTGGTGCTTCAAGTCTGTATAATTTTCACATGACACAATGCTATTATTCTTTTGCTTTTCCCCTACCCACTTAAGAATGTAAAAATCATTCTTAGCTCACAAATCTAACAAAACACAGGCAGTCAGCTGGAGGTGGCCCATAGACTATAATTTGCTAACCTCTGGTATAGAGGATAGTTCCTGAGTTTTATATTTATATCATAGTTGGTCATCTTACTGAACTCTTAGCACTTAAAAGAGATTTTAAATTCTCTTGGTTTAGCCGAAACCGGTTTGGCTCAGTGGATAGAGCGTCGGCCTGCGGACTGAAAGGTCCCAGGTTCGATTCCGGTCAAGGGCATGTACCTGGGTTGTGGGCACATCCCCAGTTAGGAGATGTGCAGGAGGCAGCTGATCGATGTTTCTCTCTCATCGATGTTTCTAACTCTCTATCTCTCTCCCTTCCTCTCTGTAAAAAAATCAATAAAATATAAAAAAAAATTAAAAAAAATAAATTCTCTTGGTTTATATGAAGAGATAATCATATCATCTGCAAGTAAATGGTATTTTGGGTTTTTTTCCCATCTGATAATTACATCTATTTTCTTTTTGCCATTTTGTTGCAGTGCCTAGAACTTTCAAACTAATTCTATATATATAAAAGCCTAAGTGACCGTTATGACTGGTCAACCAAACACCCAACACAGGAGCTGCCCCCTGGTGGTCAGTGTGCTCCCACAGCCAACCTCCCTGGGCCAACCAACCTCCCGCAGTCCCTCCCTCCGGCCAGCCAACCTCCACGGTCCCTCTCCCAGGCCGGCCGGCCTCGAATGACCCCAATCGGGACTGGGCGAGACCGCCCCGATCAGCCCAACTGCCAGCCAGGCCGAGGGACCCCACCCATGCACAAATCTGTGCACCAGGCCTCTAGTATTAAATAATAGTGATAAGATCAAGCATCCTTGTCTTGTACCTAACTTTCATGGGATCGCTGCTAAATTTAATTGAAAGAAATATTTTACACTTTGTGTATGATGACATGAATCACAACTGATAACTAATGTAGAAGTTACAGTGACTCCATGGCAAGGCTCCAATATAGGGAGAAATTTCTAGTTAAGCGAGTGATCCTCAAAAAATTCTCTTTAAAGGTGAAAATAAATACCAGTTCATAGATTTTGGGCACTTCAAATATACTGTCTTCAGGTTCATCACCAGTCGGTTCAGGCATCTCACGGAGAAAATCTACAAAGTATGGCTCAGGATGAATATACGATGTCACCTCCGAGTTGATATTTTCTTCAATTGCACGAACAATATGTGCATTGAACCACTGCTCGTCCTCAGGCATTACAAATCTGCAAGAAGAGTCCAGGAGTAAAAATGCAAAACGTGGAGGCATCTTTCCTCACCGAGCGTGGTTTCGACCCCTCTCCACCTCCTCTGGCCCCATCCCGCACCTCCGTCACGTCACAAAAGGGAAACACTCTGTTCTGCCTTCTGATAAGAAGGACCTAACCCAGCTAACAGAGTTATAACATTCACAGTGTTACTTACGGAAAATACTGACGAGGAGAGTCCCTCCTTGACCAAACTTAGGCTCCTCTGAATACTCTTCCCTCGGCTTTGGTACTTCCATGCCCTTCTCTGCATCACCCGATTTTAGCACAAATCTTGGTAAGTACATTTAGCCAGAATCCTCCACCCCCAATATCTGATCACCCTCGTGTGTGACCAAATTCCACATTCTCCTTCATCCCCCTGGGGTAACATGTGATCGCCTGGCCTGCAAGAATCCTACTTAGGTCCGTTTAGCCAGAATTCCCCTATACCTGAGGTTTCCTCTTGCTGATTTTCCACCTGCCGACCTCCCGTACCCTGTTCCTTGCCTATAAACTCCCACTTTTTCCTTTTTGGGTTTGGAGTTGAGCCTCTGCCCACTATTGTAAAGCCCCATGGCAGCAGTCCCTCTACTATCACGACAGTCGCTTTAACCAGTGTCATGAATAATTGTTTTGTTTAACAATACAGGTGAGTCAACTGGGTGAGGTCAAAAGTCCCTAAAACTTGCAATAAGCGTGCAGAAGTGACAGTCAGTGTGGGCGTGCATCCTCTTTCTGGGTTTGTGGGCACACAGTGCATGAAGGTCCTTTTCAGACTTACGGTATCAGGGGGAAGAGAGGAGGATGGGGACTGACACTGGACAAATGTCACCTGTGTGTGAGACACTGGTGGCCTTTGCAACTTGGTAAGACTGACGTTACCCTCCACGTTTCACAGAGGGGGACACAGGCTCAGAATGAGGACTGAGTTTATGTACCAGATTTTACCCCAAAACTACACAGAGCTCCAATTTTTTAGAAAATGTAAGTCACTAAAATTTGCCTCTGAATGTTACCAGCTCTCTTATAATGTGGTGATTTAAAAAGATGTCCTGTTGAATGTGGCACAGCAATCTTTTTAAGGCGACCAGCAGGTGGGAAACGGCATCGATGCTTCAGAAGCCCCAGAGAAAACTAAGACACTATTCCTTACTCTACTCATTCACTACTCCTCACTCTACTGATTCACTACTCCTTACTCCACTCATTCACTACTCCTTACTCCACTCATTCACTACTCATTACTCACTGACTCACTACTCCTTACTCCACTGGTTCACTACTCCTTACTACATTGATTCACTACTCCTTACTCCACTGGTTCACTACTCCTTACTACATTGATTCACTACTCCTTACTCCACTGGTTCACTACTCCTTACTCTACTGATTCACTACTCCTTACTCCACTGACTCACTACTCCTTACTCCACTGATTCCCTACTCCTTACTCCAGACTCACTACTCCTTATTCCACTGAGTCACTACTCCTTACTCCACTGAGTCACTACTACTTACTCTACTGATTCACTACTCCTTACTCCACTGACTCACTACTCCTTACTCCACTGATTCACTACTCCTTACTCTGCTGATTCACTACTCCTTACTCCACTGACTCACTACTCCTTACTCTACTGATTCACCACTCCTTGCTCTACTGACTCACTACTCCTTACTCTACTGATTTGAGCGGACAATGCAGGAGTTAATCTATTGTATACACTTTTTGTTGTTGTTGTTAATCCTCACCAGAGGATATTTTCCCATTGATTTTTAGAGAGTGGAAGGGAGAAGGAGAGACACAAAGAGAGAAACATCAATGTGAGAAAGACACATGGATTGGTTGCCTCCCACATGCGCCCGACCTTGTCTGGAGACCAGGCTGGAGACCAGGGCTGGGGATCAAATCTGCAAGTGAGGTGAGAGCCCTTGACCGGAATCAAATCCGGGACCCTTCAGTCCACAGGTCGACACTCTACCCAGTGAGCCAAACCGCTGAGGGTGACTGTATAAACTTTGACACAGAACACTGAACCCAGGCACCGTGATACATACCTGTCTGCAATGACTCTGTTGCACTCGTGTTTGAAAAGTGACAGGAGAACAGAGATCGAATTACACTCGTCAGCTCTTATGTTTAACATCCCTTGCCAAATTCTGGAAAGATCTCGAAGATTGAAAATGTAATGAAATTTAGAAGGAGTTGGCAGCATCTTCACCTAGAGATAAAAAACAAGAGTGATACTCATTCACTTTTCTGATAAACTAAAAGTAGAAGTGTTTTTAGAACTACTTTATTTCACAAGTCCTATTTTAAATTAAATAGGCTGAGCATTAAACCAACGTTAAGTTTATATTTTCATTAGCGTTGATGGAGAGAACACATAAACCACCATAAAACGTAAAGAAGCATAAGCCCTTGAATGGGAGGGATTCAAGCATGACATACGGGACACAGATTCCAGCCCGTTCTACCACCACTAGCTGGCTTTGAACAAGTCACTTCCCCCGACTTCTTAAAAACGATGTGAGTTGTCAGAATAAGCATTCCTGGTCATTATTACCTCATTAGTGTTCTTCAGAAATAGGTCCTAACAAAACACGGTGTGAGCTGGTCACCAGGCTCACTTCTCAAGTCAACAATGATTATGTTCTATAGACTGTCTGGTTAGGGGCCTTCATGAGCTTGTATTTCCACATGTACATCTGTATATTGAAGTCTAAGTTCCACAAAGGGGACCCAGGCTCAGTCCACAGGCTCTCATATGTCTGCACACCTGGAATAAATCGGCAGACATATAGTCTGATGTGCAGCTGTTAGTACTAGGTGGTGTTCCTGGGTTTTGTTTGTTTGTTTGTTTGTTTGAACACTAATTTACTTATTATTCCTTGTAGAATCTAAACAGGCACAGCTGTATCCATGACCAGGTGGGGATAAACTTGAGGTGTTGCAGGTGTGGAGGGCACTGCTGGCCATGAGGAGAGTGTATTGGCATCATCAGCTTCGCTTTCCAAAGCGAAGCTATAATTCTGGAAAAACAGAGCAGACTTTCCACAGGATGCGTTCAGGAGCACATGTTCCCTTCCGCTCCCTCGTGGAATGAGCCCTCTCTTTGTTGAACTAGTCCCCCGTTGAGTTTGGAGAACGATTTTCACAGGCTAATTCACAGTGGAAGTAAAAACAGCAGGTAGCAAAGGAGAGAGAATGAAGAGAAGTGTTCTTTCCCTCTTTGCTCAGTTCCATGCCGAGCGAAAATGTAAATCATACACTTATGTTACAGATATGCAAAAATAAAGGGACTAGGCCATGGGAATGCTGCTTTTCCTTCTTTGCTGTAAAAGACAGGCATCAGCAACTGGAGTGGCCATTAAAGAGAATTAGGTAAGTGCCTTTCTTTCCCTCTGCTGCTCATTTATGAACCTGCTTCTTTCCTTCTCTTCTAGTACCTCCCTTTAATTTTTTGTCAACTTCCTTCTTTTTGGACCTGCTTCTGCTTTAGAGCTACATTAAGTTCTATGAAGGTGAAGCGATGCACAGCGAGTGGATTAAAAGTGTGTTTTGTGAAGACGGGGGATTTGAAAAAATATAGATAAAGAAGGCTGTTTATCTGGGGGTGGGCAGAGGAGGAAAACTTACTTATTTTTCAATGACAATGTTTGAGCACCTCCCACTGCCCTGAGAAGACACCCAGTAAACGAGACCCCTAGGTCTGCTGCCCTCAGGGAGCTTCCCATCTAGTGGGAAGCCAACAATACGTAGGAAATAAGCATATTGATAGACAAACAATAATGATATAAATCATGGTTAGAAAAAAATGGAGTCCTGAGACAGAGAATGCCTGAGACGAGGCCCCGGAAGGCACTTTGGAGAAAATGAAGGTCACACCCAGTAAACGAGACCCCTAGGTCTGCTGCCCTCAGGGAGCTTCCCATCTAGTGGGAAGCCAACAATACGTAGGAAATAAGCATATTGATAGACAAACAATAATGATATAAATCATGGTTAGAAAAAAATGGAGTCCTGAGACAGAGAATGCCTGAGACGAGGCCCCGGACAGGCACTTTGGAGAAAATGAAGGTCAGGAGGATGAGAATCAGTCACATGAAGTGTCCTGGCTCTGAGGTGGAGAGAGGCATCATGGCTGGAGCAGAAGGTGGGAGGGAGACAGGTGAGCAGGGCCAGCTCAGGGCGAGGGCACAGCCCCAGCCAGGCGGTGGCTTTCACTGTGAATGTGACTGGGAACCTACTAGTGCTTTTGAGGAGGAGGAACGCTCTCTGGGTTACTTCCTGTAAAAGCGTCTCAGGACTGTGGCAGGACAGACTCAAGGAGGGCAGGCAAGGAGGCTGGCTAGGAAGGTGCTGCGTGGTCCGGGCAGGTGACGGAAGCCCCCATCAGGGCTCACAGTGAGGTGGCTCTAAGCTCTCAGCGTGGGGCACATTGTGAAAGCAGGTCCTGAGACTTGCAGCTGGAATCAGGGGATGGGACAAGTGGAGGGTGGACCAGTTTTCAGCCTGGGGAGCAGGACAGTTGTTGCTGGTAACTAAGATGCATAAGGCTGGGAAGGGGCACATTTAAGGACAATCAGGAGTTCTGTTCGGACATGCTAACTTTGAGATGGTTGTTAGATATCGAAATGGTGACGTCTACTAAGCAGTTAGAAATAGGTCTGGAGCCGAGCAGCGAGGCTGGGATATAGGTCCTGATTTTGACGCCATCAGCACAGAGAGGTGTTCCGAGCCCCGAGGCCAGATGAGATTCGGGGTAAAGACTGAGACAGAGCCCTAGTCGGTTGGCCTCAGTGGATGGAGCGTTGGCCTGTAGACTGAAGGGTCCTGGGTTCAATTCTGGTCAAGGGCACATGCCCAGGTTGCGGGCTAGACCCCGTGCAGGAGGCAGCCAATCAATGATTCTCTCTCATTGATGTTTCTATCTCTCTCTCCCTCTTCCTTCCTCTCTGAAATCAATAAAAAATATATATATATAAAAGACTGGGACAGAAACCACGTCTGGCATCCAGATCGAGTGCACCCAATACTTGGAGGGGGTGGAGAAGGGGCTTAGAAAAGGTAGCCAATGACAGAGGAAGCAAACCGAGTGGATGAGCCCCCTCTGAAGCCGAGTGAAGAAAGTGCTTATGTCAAATGCTGCTGAAAGTCAAGTAAGAGGAAGAAGACATCAGCCTTTAGCTATGGCAACACCGAGTTCTTGGGTGACCCTGGTGAGAGCAGTGGAAGTGAAAGCTCGGCACAGTGAGTTAACGAGGCAACGAAAGGTGAGAAAGGGGAGCCACTAAACCAGTGATGGCGAACCTTTTGAGCTCGGCATGTCAGCATTTTGAAAAACCCTAACTTAACTCTGGTGCCGTGTCACATATAGAAATTTTTTGATATTTGCAACCATAGTAAAACAAAGACTTATATTTTTGATGTTTATTTTATATATTTAAATGCCATTTAACAAAGAAAAATCAACCAAAAAAATGAGTTCCCGTGTCACCTCTGACATGCGTGTCGTAGGTTCGCCATCACTGCACTAAATGGTCAGATAACAAGAGGAGCTTCGACAGAAAGATACCAGAAAGACCAAAGCTTTGCATGAAAATGTGTCTAAAGGCACATTAAATTGAGCAATAGCCCCACTGGAAAACAGATGGGTCTTACCACAGAAAATTCTCAGACACTCAGACCGTGCCATTCATTTGGGAGTTTCTTTAAGAGAGGCAGAACAGCACGTGCAAAGGCCCTGTGCTGCTGGGCGGGGGGGGGGGGGGGGCTGTGTGCAGGAGCATTTCATGAGACACACCCACTTCCTGAGAGTTCTGTCTCTGGAATCCCTGAGCCAGCCCTGGCTGGCCCTCGGTGTCCCCAGGACGTAGCTTCCACACAGATGTGTGTAAATGGCCTAAAGAATGGATAGTGAACTATGACAACTAATTCTCACCTCTGCCATTTTCTGGCAAACATATCAACTCTGTTTTTATCTCAGACCTACACTTAATTGCTTTTTCATAAGTCTGCCTTAAGCCATCTGGTGACAGGCACAGGTCTGCTGAACCAAAGCTTTGCATGAAAATGTGTCTAAAGGCACATTAAATTGAGCAATAGCCCCACTGGAAAACAGATGGGTCTTACCACAGAAAATTCTCAGACACTCAGACCGTGCCATTCATTTGGGAGTTTCTTTAAGAGAGGCAGAACAGCACGTGCAAAGGCCCTGTGCTGCTGGGCGGGGGGGGGGGGGGGGCTGTGTGCAGGAGCATTTCATGAGACACACCCACTTCCTGAGAGTTCTGTCTCTGGAATCCCTGAGCCCGCCCTGGCTGGCCCTCGGTGTCCCCAGGACGTAGCTTCCACACAGATGTGTGTAAATGGCCTAAAGAATGGATAGTGAACTATGACAACTAATTCTCACCTCTGCCATTTTCTGGCAAACATATCAACTTTGTTTTTATCTCAGACCCACACTTAATTGCTTTTCCATAAGTCTGCCTTAAGCCACCTGGTGACAGGCACAGGTCTGCTGAGTAGCCAATGACAGAGGAAGCAAACCGAGTGGATGAGCCGAGTGAAGAAAGTGCTTAGGGACCATTTATGTCAAATGCTGCTGAAAGTCAAGTAGCTGCTGAGCTTTACGTAGGCCACTGACTTGTGTATTGAAATCTAGCCTATTTTTAAGTACATTTCCATCCATTTACTAACTCATGCTCCACCTCTGAGGAACACACCAGTTTGGGTTAGCTAAGAATATCTGGAAACCCAAGTATTCACTCAGTCAGTAAATATCTGGGTCTGACATAGTTGATCGGAGAGGGGAGGTGCGTCTAGGCGGGGAGACAGACATACAGAGAGTTACAAATCAAAGTAACAAGTGGAAAAGCAGTGTTTTCATTTCAGCAAAATTCTACTTTCTCTTGGGTGTCATAGCTGGTTCACAGCAATACCTCATACATATGGAAAACTCCATTCCATCAGCACATGCGCTGCCTGGGAGGAAAAGGCGTCCTAAATCTCTCTGAGCACCTAGTTTGTCTTGCACAAAACGGCATTACCACATGTAATGTGATAACTTCACGTGGGCCACGCGTGAGAACTAGGCTGGATCACACTTGACGTGTTTTTATTATTGACCACAGACAACGTACCTTAGTCCACTGCCACAGCACTCTGCCCGCGGAAACCAGACTTGAAATCATCTCACATATTTCAGGTTTGAACTTTCTACAGGGGTCGAAGTATCCGCAGCCAATAACTCCTGAAAACACATACACACACACACACAAGATTAAAGGTGCAAGCTCATTAAAAGGTTACAAGGTGCATGTTTATCCCTGAGAATAAATCATTACAAGACTGACGAGGCGGTGTTAAGAATTTCTCAACAAAGTCAACAGTCGGCCTGGGAAGCTTAGTAGGCTGTGCTGAGCATTTTATATGGACTCACTCATTTAACCCTCCCAACATCCTCTGAGAAAGAATCTGAGGCAGACATTATTATTCTTCCCATGTTAATATGGGTTTAGGACTGGCCCACAGTCACACGGCCTGTGGGCGAATCTGAGATTTGAACCCACGTAGCCTGGCTCGGAGCCTGTAGGACAGCACTCATCCTGGGGCGTAGGAAGCTGCCAAAGGACTTAGAAACCACTCCCTCATCCTGCAGGGGAGCAGCCCAGGCCCAGGCAGGTAAAGCAGTTGCTCACGGTCAGCGGAGAGGTTGTTGAAAGAAACGGACTCGGCACCCACATCTCCGGACCTGCCGTCAGTCAACGCCCCGGCCTGGGCTGGCCCTCTTGTGGCTCCCGGGACACACCCAGCACAGACAGTGCGACATAACCGCCCTCGGGAAGGGTACGTTGTAGGGTTAGAATGTTTGGGGTTCAGACTGCAAAACCGGGGTGCTCTATTCCCCCAGTGAGACGGCACACTGCGTGACGTGCTCGGTGCTGAGCAGGGTATTTTCAGGGGAATGTGAACGTGAATCGCTGTTGGGCGATTCAGAGCAGGTTACGAAGGGGTGGGGGTGGGGGGGAGCTAAAGAAACTGGGCTTCGTTCACACAGCTCGAAGAAGAGCAGCCTGGAGGGAACATGGAACTGTCCTCCAAAGTCATGGCTGCTGGTGCCAGAGGCCGGAAGGCCCTTTGCTTCCTGAAATCCTCTGGTTCTGAGCCTCCAGCTTCCTGTGGGACACGCGTTCTGTGGGGAGCATGGGATCTGGAATCCAAAATCAGGATTCGCACCACGCCCCTGCCCTGCACAGGCCACACGGCCCTGACTGGGCAGTCATTTCTCCTTTCTGAGCCTCAATTTCTGGTTTGTTTCCACATGTAACTTTCAATATTAATCACATTGAAGAGCGTATGAAATAGTGTGGCAAATGCTCACATACAGACCACTAAGCCGAGAGACACCACAGGGCCTGGGACACTGGAAGCCCGTTTGTCCATCCCTCCCCCGCCCTCCCTTCGGCCCTGACTGGGCAGTCATTTCTCCTTTCTGAGCCTCAATTTCTGGTTTGTTTCCACATGTAACTTTCAATATTAATCACATTGAAGAGCGTATGAAATAGTGTGGCAAATGCTCACATACAGACCACTAAGCCGAGAGACACCACAGGGCCTGGGACACTGGAAGCCCGTTTGTCCACCCGTCCCCCTCCCTCCCTTCTCCCCGAGGTAGCCACCACTCCGACTTGGTGAGAACAAGAACTAGCTTTTCTTTATGGCTTTGCCATGTATTTTTTCTGAACTTTAACTTTTTTTAACCCTAATTTTTGAAACTTAATTTCATAGAATCGTATATTCCTTGGTGACTTGCTTATTTCACTCAACATGCTACTTCTGAGCTTTATCCATGTTGAGCCATGTAGCTGTGTGTGCTCATATTTGCTGCTGTGTGGCATTACACTGTGTATCTATGCGATGTTGAGCCATGTAGCTGTGTGTGCTCATATTTGCTGTGTGGCATTACACTGTGTACCTATGCAGCAAGTTATTTATCCAATTTTATCGTCAATAAATATGGGGGTTACTTCAAGGCGTTTGCTATCATGAACATTGTTCCAGAGCACAGATGCAAAATCAATTACAGGTGGATGGAGAACTTAAACATGGAAGGCAAAGCTATGCAATGCTTGGGAAGAAATACAGGAGACCGTCTGCATGACCTCTGGGGAGGAAAGAACTTCCCAAGTGAGACTCAGAGAGCACACACCATAAAGAAAAACAATGATGAACTCTTATACAGCCGGAAGTGGACCTGCTGGGGGTGTGGCCATGGGCTGCTTCTCCAGAACCAACGTCTAATCCCTCCCCACAGGGCTGGCGGCAAACTGCACTCCCGCCAGCCGGCCGGGGATGAGAGGCCCAGTTGCTTCGCGTTCTCACCAATGCCTGATTTTGTCAGAATTTTTCATTTTTACAAATCTAGTGGTATGATGTGGCATTTCCTTGGTGCTCTAAATTTGCATCTTCCTGAATATTCATGCTTATCACCTTTACATTTGTTTACTTGCTACTTGGTTACCTTTTCTTAAAGTACTGGTTTTTCATTGCCCATTTTTATATTGGGTGGTTTGCTTTTCTCTTAATGATTCATACGATTTCTTTAAATATTCAGAATACTAACTTTTTTTGTTTTGTTATAGGGGTTGAAATTTTTTTTTCTTCCACTTTCTTGTTTTTTTACTCTATTAATGCTGATTTTTAGAGGAACCACAGTTCTTAACCTAGTCAAGTTTATCATCCTTTTTTCGTATGGCTTATGCTTTCTGAGTCTCATTTAAACAGTTCTTTCCTACACAGAGGTCATTCGGATATTTTCCTTTATTTTCTTTCAAATGTTTTATAAGCTTTATTGTCCATATTTAGATCTTTAATCTATCTGTATTGGTTTTATGTTTGGTGTGAAGTAAGGGTCCAATTTCAGTGATTTTCCCATAAGAATTACTAAATATCCCAGAACCACCCATTGGAAGTGCCTTTCCCTTCTGATCTACATACAGTACCTGCCATGTCAGAGTGGGGGGTGTGCAGGAGGCAGCTGATCGATGTTTCTCTCTCATCGATGTTTCTGACTCTCTATCCCTTTCCCTTCCTCTCTGTAAAAAATCAATAAAATATATTTTTTAAAAAATAAATAAACAGTTCTTTCCTACACAGAGGTCATTTGGATATTTACCTTTATTTTCTTCCAAATGTTTTATAAGCTTTGATGTCCATATTTAGATCTTTAATCTATCTGTATTGATTTTATTTTTGGTGTGAAGTAGGGGTCCAATTTCAGTGATTTTCCCATAAGAATTAGTAAATATCCCAGAACCACCCATTGAAAATGCCTTTCCCTTCTGATCTACAGTACCTGCCATGTCAAATAATTAATGTCCACATATTCATGAGTCTGTTTCTCTTGTATGTCTTCAAAAACATAATTTTTGATGGTATAGTTTATGTGAACCTAAATTTGGCACTAAAATTTTCATTTTTATTAACATAGCAAACTGCTACATTTGACTTGGTATATTATATTGTTAACCTATGATCAATGTGCAGTCACTCAGCCCAAATTCCTCTTATTAATTATGCCAAGAAAACCAAAGCACAAAGATTTGCTTATCTCTAAGCCAACCTTTAACAAGGCTATTTCTAAATATTCCTGAGTCTTAACAGGGGCTATAAACATTCTTCTTAGTATTTACTCCCCTCTTTTCTGGTACTTAGCCCTCTATTTCACATACTTAATCCCCACTTCACACAGAGCCTTTTATCTCTTAAAGAAGGTTTTGCATGGTCTATGTTCATTATGTATGCAATTAAAAAATTAAACACCAAGAAGAGTCATACCAAAAATTTTGTCTATTGAAGCATTGGAAGGCAATGTGCAATTAAACACAGTAAATTGTCTTTTTAAACGTTGGGGAATGTCATTTCGACCCCCTCCAGGGTGGATCATTGCTGCTATGAGCTGTACATCAACAATAGTAGTGAAGTCTCCAGGCTTATCCAAGCTGTACATGCCTTCCATTTCCATCATTTGTCGCACAATCTCATTAGTTATCTGAAATGTTATACACATTATTTTAGTAACATCTCACTATCACGGTCCCCCACAGCTCCTATAAAATTAGTACAGATGAGATTAAAAGAAAATATCAACTCTTATCAATGAAGTGTTTGTAAATGCTAATGATCACCTTCAAGGTTACTCGGTTTAACCCGTCACCCATGAAATCTAAACCATAAGTTAAACGTGTCTGGTGCAAGTCCAATCTGCTCCTCATCACATTGATAAAACTAATTTCCCAATACACTTAGATGAATTATGGAATATTTGGCACAATTACAGTGGTACTCAAGTTGCAAGTTTTGCTATAGGTATCTTTCACACTCAAAATTCAACACTTCAAAATACTTACATCAGGATGTGGGATGGTTTTACTCCTGAGCTTTCAAAATGTTATCACTGAATGTTTGGGTTTGGGTTTTGCATCCCCACCTTATCTTTCCTGCAGCCTCTAACATTGCTACAACCACCTCCTTACTAAAAATGTTCCCGCTCTTGGTTTCAGAGGCTCAGTTCTTTCCAGGTTCATCTAATGACTTGGGTAGCATCCCAAGCACCATTTTCCACCCGTCCCTCACATGGAACTGTTCCATAGAGCTCCATCCTCCTCTTCTCTTCCCACTGTTCAGAGGATGCCGTCTCAACTCTATACCTGGAGAATCTCAACTCTGGAACCCCACCTTCAGGTTCCATTCTAAGCTCCACACCTCTATGTCCAAATTCCTACTGGGCATCTCACAATCTGGGCACACAAGCACCTCAAATATAGCAGTCATTCCTTTAACAAACATTTAATGAATGATTTCTGTGTGTCTGGTAGCATAGACAGATGTCCCTGTCATTCTAGTAGTGGGAGAGAATATATATATATAATAGTATATTATAAGTCTTTTTGGAAAAAATGAAGCAGAGAAAGGAAATAGGCAGTGCTCAGAGGTATAGCTGAATATGGGGAGTAGGGGAGGCTCTGGCTTTCAAAACATATAAGGAAAGACTTAAAGGACATGAGAAAGGGAACCACTTAAATATCTAGGGGAAGAGCATTGCAGGCAGAGTAAACAGTAAATGAGGTGCTGAGCGAACATCATATCCAGTGTGTACAAGGCTTAATAAATGTGGCTGGAACAGAGTCACGGGGAGATGAGGTCAAATGGGATAGGGCCTTTGAGTCCCGGTAAGAATTTTGGCATGCATATTCTATGAGTCTCATGGAGGGTTTTGAGCAGAGGATTGTGTCATGATATGGCTCACGTTTTAACTGATTTGAGAATAGATTGAGAGGGGCAAAGGAAACGGAAGCAGTGAGGAGACATCTGTAATGGTCAAGAAGAGAGACAATAGTTTGCACAGATATTGGCAATGGAATGGATAAATCTTGGATATAGTTTGAAGATAGAGCCAACATGATTCCCTGAAAGATTGAATGGTGTTGCTATTTTTTGAGATGGAGAGCACTGTTGGAAGAGCAGGTTTAGGGAGTAACAGGAATTTGGCTTTGGAGAGGACATGGTAAGTTTGAGATCCAACTATACATTCCTAATTGGATAAATGAGCCTGAAATGCAGGGACTCTTCAGTTTATAGATGATATCTAAATATGCTTCCACTCTCCTCACCTTATAGCAGTGATGGCGAACCTTTTGAGCTCTGCGTGTCAGCATTTTGAAAAACCCTAACTTAACTCTGGTGCCGTGTCACATATAGAAATTTTTTTATATTTGCAACCACAGTAAAACAAAGACTTATATTTTTGATATTTATTTTATATATTTAAATGACATTTAACAAAGAAAAATCAACCAAAAAAATGAGTTCGCGTGTCACCTCTGACACGCGTGTCATAGGTTCGCCATCACTGCCTTATAGGAACTGCTGAGAGGTCTATGGGCCTTGGAACCCAACCGAATGGGAGAGCAAAGGGGAAAGGAAAGCGGGGAAAGCCTTCCCGGCCTGAGGATGACACCTGCATAGATTCGCACGTTGGGTAGACCTGGCCTATGTGGGCCAGAGATTTTCAACTGTTAACTGTGCTTTGATCCTTGAGTAAGCTCTTAAGGACCCGGCAGAAGAAAGCTCAAAACCTGTCTGGATGCGGGCACATCCATCCTAGGCTTCAGATAATTTTCAAAGGTGATGACCTAGCTAGCAGCCAAAGATACATACAGAAAACAAGACAGTTTGAACCTGAACAAAAACTATTAAAACCACAGAAAGCAGAAACAGAGCCACATAGACCCCATATGCTGGAATTAACAAACACAGAAATTAAAACAACTGTGCTAAACATGTTTAAAGAAATAGACAACACATTTTAAAATATATGCAAGGAGTAGGAAATTATTAAAAATGACAGTATTTTTTTTGAAAGAAAAGAGAATCAAAAAACTAAAATTAAAACTCAAAAAATAATTTGACAGTAGATTATACAAATTTGAGAAGAAAATTAGGGAAGTGGAAAACAGAGAGGGGAATTATCTAGACATAAGTATTACAAGGCTGGGGTGTATAGAAGAGAATTACAGAAGCATAGAGGGCATAGAGTTTGAGAAAAGAGGAAAGAGAG